ACATCTTAGTGACTCCTGGATGAATATTAAGGATACTCTTATGACCTTCTTCTAGGATTGCTTTCTTAAGCTCTAGCATACTAGGAATGTACAATCTATTCTTAGATCTCAACATTCCATCCATTCCAAATCTAAACTCACTCTCCACATCTTGATTCAACTTCTCTACTTCTTTTTTCTCCTTAGGCCATGCTTCCGCTGCTCCACTCTGATACATTTTAATATCTCCTAAATGAATACTAAAAGTACTTTTATGTTCTTCCTCTAAGATCATTTTCCTTAATTCGGTTTTACTAGGCACATAGATTCTATCCTTGAACCTCAAAACACCCTCAACTTCCAAGTAAAGGGCTATCTATACGTCTACCAATCTTTTCCACTTGGCTCACTAAGAAATAATTTAACTTCTGGTCCTCTAATCACATCCATTAATCTATTAGTCCTTTCAACACACTCAATTCAATGCTCCTAAGGGTGAGCGCACACATCACGCTTAAGTTTCTAATCTCCCCGATCAAATTCAACCCTGACATTATCAAAAATGATAGATGAATGATCATCCTACTTAAGGCATTTGTCACCATATTACTTTAATTTTTATGACCCTCTCCAAGGATCAAGTATTTAAGCATAAATTTACTAGGTACGTATAATCAATTTCTAAGTCTTACCACCCTATTTATACCCAAGGCAAACTCATATCTACTACCTTATCTTATGATCTCATGTCTTGCCATCAGAATGAATCAATTAATTATGTTTTTCTAATTTTCTTTAATAGTCCATTATTTACTCGAGTCATACCTAGTTTCATACTACTAGGAATAATTTCACAAGTCAAACTTAAATTTTTAATGTGAGCTAAAAGATACATCCATTTAACCATAAGGGGAGATATATATATATAGAGGTTTCCTACTCAAAGTATCGACCACATTGACTTTTTCCAAATAACAACTAAGATTAAAATCTTAATCCTTAACAGTTTCCAACTATCTCTTCTATCTCATATTCAACTCCGTTGGATCAAACAGATATGTAAGATTCTTATGATCACTAAATATTTCAAACTTAAAATCATACCAGTAATGTCTCCAAAATCTTAAGTGTAAATATTACAATCTCTAATTCAAGGTTATGGGTAAGGTAATTTTTTCTCTCATGAATTCTCCATACCTAGATGCCTAGAAATATAAGCTACTACCTTTCCTTCTTGCATCAACAATCCATTTACACCCGTCTTCGAAGCATCACTAAATAACACAACACTTACTAGAGTCCGGTAATCTTAACACTAGCCAATTTTTCCTTAGAGTTTGAAAACTACTTTCACACTTACTATTCCATAAAGGCAACTTTCTCTTCTTGGTTAATCCAGACAAAAGTAATATTATCTTAGAAATTTCCTCAATAAATCTCCTATATTAATAAGTTAATGCAAGAAAACTCTTAACCTCACTAATTAACTTAGGTATCTCCCACTTAAACACAACTTCGATCATAGATAGATCTTCATTATATCTCCACTAGAAATTACAAAACCTAGAAAATTCACTTCATACAATAGAAATTCATACTTAAATAACGGTGTAAAGTTGTCTTGAATATATTTTCATCCTCAATTTCATTGTGAGGAGTGGAAATGGATAAGGAAATGGAAACAGAGTGAAGAAGATTAGGGTTTGGGCTTTTATGGAGAGCCTCGGGGTTCTAGAAAATTCTAACTATTCCAGAACCCTTGAGGTCCTTTGTCTCATCAAAATTAATTTATTTTTAGTTTTTCTTTAAGTACTTTTCTTTTTCCATGTAACATTTTTTAAGACAGTTTTATTGTAACAGGACCATCTAACTTTTTTTGTATGTCGCAATAATCATAGTTTAATCTTTTTATATATAAATTAAAAATAATAACAATAAATATAATATTTTTTTAATAAATATATTGTAATGGTTGAATAATTTATGAAATAATAATTTAAAAAATAATTAATATCGTATGAGACCATCGTTTATTTTCAAACATTTAAATTTTAAATGTTAAAACTGTAACAAGTGTGACATGTATAAAATAAAAGTTACTGTTGTGTTATGATGGTTTATAACTTTAATTACAAGAAATACTTCACCATCTTAAAATAAATGTAATTTTACCGTTTAGTTTTTTTAAAATAATTTAAGTTCTCCGTTTTTAATGAAATATTATTTTTAAAATTATTTTTTATAAATTTTTCAACTATTACATATAAGATCTATAATTAAAACAATACATTTATAGGAAAAAAGTGAAGCTATTAAATTGTATAAGAAAAATTGTTATATTTATTGTTACTTTTAACTTGTATATAACTTAAAATTATAGTTATTTTAAGATAAAAAAGTATTATTATTATAATTATTATAAAATACATTGTATATTATATAATATATGTTAGTATCATAATATCGTATAGTTATTAACGGACTTAAGACCTTTAGTATGTAGGGATAATTTATTTTAAAAATAACTATTATTACATATGAAAATAAAATTTTTAGATCAAAAGATTATTTTATATTCCTTAGTCATAATGTTGTAATAATAATAAACATAAATATTTTGAAAAAAGTTTTTAAAATCATTTAATAAGAAGAATGATATTTGTAAGACAAATGTACTAAGACAATCTATTATCTTAATATAAGAGCCTAATAAACAAAATAATTCATCTGCAAGGCATTTATTTTAAATTAATATTATTTATGATGTTTAATAATTAAATCAATCTTTGTGTATAAATATTTGTTAACAAATTGAAGCAAAACAATTTTACTGGTACCTATAATGACAAAAGAGAAAAAAAAATGTGTTTTCCGTTAGAAGAAGACAAGTGGATCTCATGAATCACAAAAATCTTAAAAAAAAAGTTGTTTTGAATTAACACATGCATAACTCCACTTGTCCAATACTTAAAAGGTAATAAGTAATTTTCTTAATCAAATAAAAAGTAAATGCACCAACAGACACTTCTCTCCATGAGAAACAAAGATAATTAAAGACAGACAAAACAAGTTTGTGAAAAATCCTTAAGGATTTGCAATAGTTATCTTCATTAAAATCCTATAAAATGAAGTTTGAACTTTAGAAAGACAAAGAGATCAATTTATTGTAAAAATCATATTATTTATTTTTGTAAAAAGTTTCTACACTTAATTGGTTGTATCACATCTTGATAGTAAGATGAAACAACATAGTTAGCTTACCCAACTTTAACTTTGTGTTATTACTTCAAACATAGAGAGACTTGATTGTAAAAAAATACTTGTTTACTTTAAGCCTAAAAAGACTTGATTATAAAAGAATACTTGTTTGTTTTAAGCCTAAAAAGGTTTGTCTGTAAAAAGAATACTTGTTAGTTTGAGCTTCAAGAGACTTGTTTATAAAAGAATATTTGGTTGTTAAGGTCTTGAGAGACTTTGTGTTGAAATAATACGTGGATAGTTTGTGACACCCTCTACCCCAACATTAATACACAATAAATGTAAACCATAATTTTCTGAGTGAATAAAATCTTTCATAGATAAAAACAAGCGTCTCAAATATCATAAGGTAGGAGATTCACATTCATAATTCATAAATCATAACTCCAATGCGAAAATTACACAAGAAAATAAACTAAGGTTTTCAAAACAGTTTAATGGAAACAACATCCTAAACTAGTCCATAAAAAATAACATAAATAAATAAACATAATAGTATATAAATTTTTAAAGAGATAAAGTTCTCCTCCCCTTTACCTGGATAAGCAAGAGCTAAAACTTGAGCAGAACCTCCCCTTCTGGATTCCCTCTTTCTTTCCCTCTCTCTCTCTCTCTAAGATTTTACTATTTCACCCAATTATATAATTTTCACCCCTGATGCCCCTATTTATAGGCATTCTGACGCACCCGGAACGACCCGTACTGAATTCAGAACGGCCCGTTCCGGTACCTTCAAATGTAGGCAATTTTTTCAACTGGAACGACCCGTTCTAAAATCGGAACGGCCCGTTTCCAAAAAGCAGAACGGGCTGTTCTAAAATTAGAACGACCCGTTCTGGGTTTCTTTTTAACACACATTGACCATAAGCAGAACGACCCGTTTCTAACTTCACTTTCTAGACATTTTTAGGATTCCGGAACGGCCCGTTTCCCTTTTAGAACGGCCCGTTCTGGAAAAACCCACACAGGCCTTTTTACAAATTTGGAATGACTCGTTCCACTTTTGAAACGTCCCGTTCCGGGCCAACAAACACAAGCCTTTTAAGAAATTTGGAACGACCCGTTCCACTTTTGGAACGGCCCGTTCTGAGCCCAGAATATTATTTTATTATTTTTAATTATAAAATCCCTTTAATAATTCCATAAATATTTAAAATACATAATAATCATTCATTAAAATCTCTAAAATATTCTATATAAAAAGAACCTTTTTTTTTATTAATTAATAACTATATAAAAAAATAATTTTCATAAATATAAAGTATAAAATTTGGGATGTTATAATGATCATTCTTATCAAATTTTAATGATTTATATATTTTTAAATATTTTATTTAATAATAAATATTTAAATAATATTCAGAATATTATTTTATACATTAAAATAATATGATATGATAAATTATTAAATACTTCTAAAATTAAGTACAATTACGTATATTTAATAAAATTAATAATATCATCAAATATAACTATTTAATTAGTTGAATTTATATTTAATAAAAAGTAATTAAAAGTATCGATTCACGTGTCAAGATGTTGATATATAGAGGTATATTTTTATATAATTTTCTATTTCTAATTATCATTTTACATATTTAAATAAGTGAATAAATATGTTCTTTTAAAATTTTTATCCATTCAAATAATGTACATTTTGTAGTTTTTTCTATAAAATTATACTCCTTATCAATCTTTGTTGCTTCAAAATTAAATAAAAAAAATTAACCATTTGTGTTAAAATCTTTTATTTATTTATTTATTTTTTATCTCTAAAATTTTCTGCGAATAACACATTTTGAGAAATACGCGTGAAAGGGAAAACGGAGGGAGACGGTGCCACGGTGGTGCATCGTAGAATCGAATAATCAATAGTCTTTGATGAAGCAATTGCTTCAGTAGCATCTAATCAATAGATCTTGAAGCAATTCTATTTGTGGGCAACGTTCGTTCTCTCGGATCCCTCAAAAAATCATTTTTGGTTTTGGGATCAATCGGAAATGGAGAAGGTGATGAACATTCTGAAGCCGAAGCCAAATCCGCAGCAGCTATTGAGAGATTGGCAGCGCAGGCTTCGCCAAGAGTGTCGCAACATTGAGCGTCAAATTCGCGGTATTTCTTTCTCTCTTACTTCTAAACCCTAATTAATTTCCTTATTTATTTATTTATTTATTTGTTATTATGTTTGATTTTTATGTTTTTTGGTTTCTTTCAGATATACAGAGAGAAGAAAAAAATGTGCAGAAGGCGATTAGAGAAGCTGCGAAGAGGAATGATATGGGCTCTGCAAAGGTTTGTTCTTATTTATTTTTTGACTAGTTATTTGTTTATTTGCTATTGATTAACTATTGTTAGTGCCAGGGTTTTTTTTGTTTGTTTTATTTTTGGGTAGTGTCATGGGATAATTTGATTGAGTTCGAGGGATTGAGAAATGTGTGTCTACGGTGATCACCTTCTAATGTGTGTTTCTTGAATACCCGAGTTGGTCCTGAATGCCAGTAAGAATATTTAATGGTGTTTTCATGTGTATAAAATACATTTTCATCTTGTTTGTTGTGTGTAGATGTGGAAGTTATTATTTGCTTTTTTACGGGATATTTTGCTGTAAGTCCCAAACACTTAGGATGATGATGAGATATGACAACCGGGGAGGGGCGGGGAGGGGTTGAAGGTTTAGCATCCAGACTTCCATCAGTGTATCTTTTCCAAATACTTGTGACTTGTTTCTATAATATATTCATTTGTATCTTTCAGGTCAGGAAGGAAAATCTATGTCAGTAATGTCTCCTGTTGTGAAACAAGGTACCATGATGAGTATTAGCAATATCTTATGTTCTTTGGTTCTGTTTTCTTTTCTCTGCTCTTTGTGATTTATATTGTTTGTTCTCAGTTCCATATCTCCCTTTCTGGAATTTTCTAATTTCATCCTATAAAAGAAGAAGACTTCCATCTTTCACACTTTAAATTCTGAAAATAGTTTTTTATATATTTGATGCATCAGCATTCATTCTTGTAAGAATTTATATATACTTGCCTCTCCTCTGCCTCGTCTATTTATATATACTTGCAATAATTTATATATATTGTTCCTACAATTTATTAAGTTTTACTTTCAGGTGTAATGTGTTGATGAAGTTATACTGTGCATTCATGTTGATAAGTAACATAGGAGGGGGGGTAAATTGGTTCATTTTTTTCACCCCTCGTTTTCATTGTCTTGAAATTTTCTGACAGTGGTCCTAATAGTGCAGCAAAAGTTACCATCCTTCATATTTGTCTTTTTTAAAATTTGAATGAGGTGGCGTCAAATAGTGTATTCTTAAGAATGGATGCAGGAGAGTGAATGGGAGAAAAATTTGGAATATGGACTGTTAATGCATTGTATATTATTTGTGCTGAATCCAAGGAAAATTGTTGGATTGACATGCCAAACATTTATTTTTTGTGCTAAAAGTTTATGGGGACTATGTTGGTTGGTGGGATTGTTAGGACTAGTCCCAATATTCAATAAACTAAGAATGAAACTATTTTTGGTTTGTGCTTGTGTATGGCCTTTTTGGCAGTGGTTTGTTCATCTATTGACATTTCAAGGTTCAAAGGATAAGGTCAGTATTTTGAGAAACATTTATCCTTATTATGATATTTTTGCAATTTGCAGGCACTTGCCATGGAACTTGTGAGATCTAGGAAAACAGTGAACCGTCTTTATGAAAATAAAGCACAAATGAATTCAATATCGATGCACCTTGGAGAGAGTGTTGGTAGGTTTTTCCATGTTTTATTAGCCTTAACTTTATGTTGCCATATAACAAATTAGGACCATCTATGTTAGTTACTTGTGCTTGATACCAGGTTTAACTGAAGAGCTTTAATCTTCTTTAATCCCTCTTATTAACTGAATAGTATGGGTAAATTTGTTTACCGTAAGTGAATTTGTTGTGAGGAAAATAATCACCTGACTATCGGTTGCTTCTGTCTTTACTTTTTAGTTTTTTAGGTAGAGAGGAGAAGATGGCTGGGATATTATTCTGGTGTGCAACATGTATATCAGTTTGAACATTGAAGATTTGTTGTGTGAGTCACTTAGAACAACCTGCTGGCGGTCAAAATTACAATTTGATTGTGGGAGCACAATCTTAATAGTAAGATTGTGTGGTTTTTCAATTTTTTCTGGCTCAAGTGATCCTAATCCAAGTCGGACACAATTTTGTGTGATCAGTGAGTGACTTGTGAAATCTTTTTTGAAGTTGACTGACTGATCTTACCAAGTTTGCTGAAACTGACCCATTATTGTTGAAGACCTGACACCTGTTCCATTAATTCCTAGAACGTTTCATACTTGTTCATTTTGGCTAGCCTCTTCTTTTATTTTTTGCTCTTCTGCAAACAACACATTCTGGGTTCCACTCCTGGATTCAACCCCTTGGGGGCTTGTTTACTTCTCTGTTTGGTGTTCATTTGCTTCTGGGTTTGCAAGGGTTTGGCACAATTATTGATCCCTGTTCTTCTTTCTCTGTTTTTGTTCATTTGCTTCCGGTTGAGATCCTACTTCTAATTGGGACCTTGGGTTTGACTTCATTCGTGTATTTTTGTTGAGTTTTATGTGATGTTGAAGTAGTTATGGTCTTTTTTATTCGGAGTTTTTAAGCTGTGACTTATGAGTTTTATACTTTTTTGGTTGAAGTTTACTTTAGTAATGATTTTAATGTTATTAGCCTTATTTATTTTATTTTTATGCACATTTATATTAAATATAACTTTGCATTTATATTAAAAATATTTGTTTTACATCGTTTTACAAATAAGAGACCAAGTTATTGGCATAACTGAACTTGATTGGCAAGTAAATCTTCAGGGACTTTCTTTCTTTGTATATTGTTGATATGATCATATGACTCTAAATCTACAACTATTTTTAATTTATTCATCTAAAATAACCAAATAAAACCCATAAAATTAAATTCAAATGAAAATCAAAGTAAAATGATAAAATAATAAAATTTCATTTTAATTCACACCCCTTTTTTTTTGGTGAATCTTTATGTTTTACTATGGGGAGGAAATTTCAAATTGTTCTGTCCAATTTGTAAGCCCAGTGAGGCCTTTAAAACCAAGACAGAGGGAAAGTTTGTTGAGTGTTAGAGGCTGATTTGTGTATTGCCTGGGTCAGCTTTGCCTTAGCACTTTTTATTTGGCTTGATGCAATGACTAACGTGACAAATCATATATGTGTAACATTCTCACTGTATTTTTTCTGTTTGTTATAAACAGTTAAATACACTATTTAGATTAATTAGTTTTTATTTGAGCTGCAAACTCTTTTGCAATTGGTTATGTATCAGATTTGTGTCATTAGATTTTTGTTCTTTTGAAATTAATCGCTTTGGTTGTTTTGCAGCAATTGCTCGTACTGTGGGACATCTATCAAAGAGCGCCGAGGTTATGAAGATTGTCAATAACCTCATGAAGGCCCCTGAGATGGCTGTTACAATGCAAGAATTTAGCAAAGAAATGACAAAGGTATGCCTGCAACCCTTTTTAATGCAGAAGAATACCACTGTTTCAATTCCATCTGGGTTAGAAAACATAGTTGCATTGGTAGTTACGAGGAGTGTTGTTCTTTCAGGCAGGAGTGATTGAAGAGATAGTAAATGATGCCGTGGACACTGCACTAGATTCCGAGGACATAGAAGATGAGATAGAAGAAGAAGTCGAGAAAGTCTTGACCGCAATAGCTGGTGAGACAGCTGCGCAACTTCCTGAAGCCGTGAGGAAAGAAAGGGTTAAACAACCCGCTCAAAGTGTTGGAGCCGCCGAGGTATGTGCAGTTAGTTCATTTTTCTCATAAACAAGGCTCTGTTTCTTGCCTCACACGTAACACCAATCATGGAATACATTATTATTTGTAGGAAGATGCTATAGCTGAGGGTGTTGATGATGAGGAAGAAATGGAAGAAATTAGGGCCAGACTTGCTAAAGTTAGGTCATAAACAAGTTTATTGTCTCGCAGCCTCTACCTTTTACCCTCATATCTTGTTATAAGAGAGAGATGTTTGACAGGTTTGTATCCAATTTGTCACATCTATATCGGAAAAGACGATTGATATATTAATGGGAAATGTAATATTGGGACAGGCAGTTTGTAAGTAAATTACACGAAGTTCTTGAAAGTGTGTCAAGTTATAGTCCCGCTTTTTAAATTTTTATTAAGGTAATAATCGCAAAGGATCTTCATCAATGGTTTGAGATTGCATAACATCTGGCTCTAATTTTGTCAAATATTCGCATTAGCGTTGAATTATGCTGCACGAGGGTGGTTGTCATATTTGCTTCATCTCTCTAATTGCAACACGAGGCCAACTAATAATTACTTACATTCTCCCTTATTCTAATTATCAAGTATGCGTATGCATACCATTCATGATAATGTAATAAAAAAAATTAAAATGTCGGGGTGCATAGTTTTGATTAGACAAATTAGTTGCCTATTGTTCAAGGACTCAAGGAGTCTCCTTTGTTATGTTTATGATTTAGCAAGAAATAGGAATGGGTCAGCATAACTACAACAGAGACAAACACGGACACGCATCGTTGATGCAATCGTCAAATGCTTTCAAGTTTCAACTACATATTCCACCACTACAATTGAATTGAAAGAATAAGTAAAAATAAACTTAATTAGTACGTAGTTACAATGTATGGACTTGTTTTTGTAGGGTATTGTTGTATTGTAGCCTTATAGTGAAAATCACCAATTTTATCACTTCGTTTGATGCTGCAGGAATGTTGTAGAAATATGGTGGATTGAGAAATAAAGTAAGAGAAAAAATTGAGTGTGTTTGATCAAAAGGAAGTAAGGAAAGAAAGAAATAAAAAAAAAATTAGTCTCACTTTTTTATTTCTGTATAAAGCAGGGAAGAAATAAACAAGGAGATCTATCCATGAAAAATAATCAATTGCAAATTGTTTATAACCGGATATCATCAATTTCATTCGTGATAAGAAGACAATAATTTGTTTTTGACACAACCATTTGTTTTAAAAAATAAAAAAATTCGACTGGTGTTTTTTTTTCTTCTTAAAATACAATCTTGTCTAAAAAAAATAATTGGTCGAATTATTCGTATAGGATTTGAGTTTAATCCTTGACAAAAATAAACTTTGACTAGATTTTACTTATCTTTCGATTGAGTCAGATTAATTTAAAGCAAAATTTTATGAAATTGAAGTAAAATAAAAAAAAAATCAATTGTTAGTTAAAGTAATTGATTTCAAATATTTTTATTTTATTTTCTACTTTTTAAAATCAAACATCCTTCTTTGAACTCTATTTCTTTTCACATATTTTTGTTTATTTTATTTCTCTATTTATTATTTCAATCTGTCATACTTTGTTTTTACTCTACCAAATACACTTTGTAGAATGTGGGCTTAATTTTCAAGGAACAGTAAAGTTGTCAGTTTCATTCTAAGTCTCGGGGCTGATCCATTTGACCCGCAATAAGATACCATTTGAATTGGATCCAACTGGTCTATTTCTATAACAAACCGATGAACCGGTCTAGAGTTGCAAACATTATTTTTTAAATAAAAAAAAATTCCAAACTTCTTTTCTTAAAAACATTTATCAATTATCTTTAAAAATAAAGTCATTTAGACTTTGCTAACATTGTGTTAAAATTTGATAATTTGGACATAAATATTTATGTTTTGATTTTTGAACTTATTATTGGAGTTAGTTTAATTGTTTATAAACTTTGTTATCATGAGCTTGATATTTTTGAACTTTGTTGTTATGAAATTTAGTTTAATTGCTATTTTGGATATTAAGTTTTCATGATAATATTTTTAAATTTGAAGTTTGAACATGTGATATTTATTATTTAGCATGATAATACTTTATTTTAATATATGAAATATTTTCAATTATGCTAATTTGTTGAAAAGTGCAATCAAAAGTCCCACATTATTTGAAAAAGAAGAGAAACATGAGTTTAGAAAGTACACACATGTTTCATTGGTATAAAGTCTTTTGGGAGATAACAAAAAATAAAATTATGAGAGTTTAAGTCTAAAGTGGATAATAACATATCAATGTAGATATATGTGTGGGATACTCCTCTTAGTGCACCTAACAAGCCGTGCCTCCTGAAATTTGTTCTCTTGTGAATGTAGATTAAATTAGTTGAATCACGTCAATTTGTTGTATTCTCTTCACTTAATCTTTTTCATTTATTATTGTGTTGTTTTTTCTTCCGCTTACATTTTACATTCTTGTTCTTTCCTTTCTACCTTTTTGGTTTGTTCATGCATAGGGTCTGTTCTTGTTTGTTTTCTTGTTTTAGAACCAATAAGTGACACCATATGAGGATGTGTGAATTTTGGTACATAGGAAGCGGTGACAAGGCCAATGGAGAATTGACTCTAACTTGAACAAGTATGATAGATTTGGTAGCTTCTGACGATGTGTTCATATATGAAGGTGAATGTCTTCTTGATAACATGGAGGTTAGAAGCATGTTTCATTACCGTGAATGAATGGTGGAAAAGCATAAGTCACCATGAAATATTTGTGATCTATCTGCTGAAGGGAATGTTTAACCATGGTCCTTTATTTGAGAGAATGATTGTTGAAAAATACAATCAAAAGTCCCACATCATTTGGAAAGGAAGAGAACTATGAGTCTATAAAGTACACACATGCTTCATTAGTATGTGAACTTTTGAGAGATAACCAAAAATAAAATAAGGAAAACTAGTCCCAAAGTGAACAATATCATACTAATGTGGATATGTATATTTAGTACTCCCTTGATGAACCTCAACGTTAATTATATTATTTTTAATTTTTTAATAATTAATAGAGTGTTTGATAGGTTCAACAAGTGATCCTCCCTATTAATAACTAAACCATCAAATTATTACATAAACTAATTCAATGACTTGCTTAAGTTTTTATAAAAAATAAAAAAATATTTTCTCTCATTTCAAAAGCTTTTCATTATTTAAAGTTCGAGTCTAATTTATCTCTTAAATTTAATATTGAGTTTAATATATTTATTTATTTAATAAAAAATGTTTTTAAGATTTAATTTAACCTTTTAAAAGCCCAAATTAACTTAAAAACTATTTAAATAATTTATTGGTGGGCCTTAACTGATAAAGTCAGGACTTAGTGGATGTGTACAAGACGACATAAAATCAATCTGAACAAGCAATTCAAACCAAGGAATACTTGGTGAATGGGAGTATATCATCAAGCATTTTCTTTTGTCTGTGTATGTAACTGAATCAGAAAATGCCTCAGCGATTAGTCTAATTTAACTAGAGTTGTCCATAAACTAGTTTTGGTTAATTATTGAGCACTAAAGGGTTCTTTTCATGAACTGAACAAAAGGAAAAAAAATTAGAGTATCTACTTTATTATTTACCTGTAATATAGGTCCATATAACAATATGATATTGCTTAGCTAGCTTTCTTTATGATCTTCATTCAGGTATATATATTAATTATTCGTCATCCATATATATTTGGCAATATGAATGGAAATAGGGAGGCAAAAATGATAGAGACGACTAGGTGAGTTGATAGGAGTTAGGACCTTACTTTCACGGAAGTAACATCCATAAAGAGAGAAACTTCAAGAAATCATATAGAAAAGAAAATAATGCTTTATTCATTACCTGCTTTTCAAAGCCATAAATATATCGATATATTCTGCAATTAACTACTAGCTAGCTAGGCAAAACAAAAGCTTACAATTTCAGGATTTTCCCTCTTCAAATTGCAACAATCCATATTTGATTTTAAAATTTTAATTATCATTCCTTTAATATCTTATTTTATTATGCATCTTTTATTTATTTATCTTAAATTTGTTATGAATGATCTTTTTTCAACCAATGAAATTGATTAGTAGAAGTTAAAATAGGTAAAATGATTTAACGAGGAAAACTTGATTTGATTTGACTTGACTTTTTTTTTTTTTTTAAAAGAGTAGGTTTAATTTTTTTTAAAAAGTCTTTTACCTAAAAATATCAAGTTTTAGGCTTGTTTATTAAAAGGGTAAGTTTTGTCTAAAATAATTCAAGTAAATAGATTTTTAAGTTAGATCAAACTCTTAAACAGCTTAGGTTAGATCTTTAAAATAACTTGTAATAAATAAACATATTAGACTTATGTTTAGTAATTGTATTATAAGTTAGAATTATATATACATGATAAAATCTGATCTTGTTTTCACCCATACCGAGTACTTTTCTTGATTAAAGGTTGAGAAAAAGTGTATAAACTATGTTTTCTAACGGAAAGATGCATGGTTATAATTGTTATTAGACTTGAAATCACATTATTTTTATTCAATTGAAATGGAGTTTCTTTATTGGTAACACATTCATGAACTTGGTGGTTGATAGTTGATAATTTTTATATTTCTGTGAATTTAATGAAATATATAATATTTCTCAAAAAGTAATTTTAATATTATTTAATATATTGCATTTTCTTTTCGTGCAAATGAGATACAAAAATACATATTCTCGAGAATCTCTAAGCAAGTAAAAGACTAGCCTTAAATATCTATTTATTTAGTACATTTTTTTTTTACTTGGGTAATAATGCACATATAACATGGTTTTGAGAAAGAAGAACTCGTAAGGCAATGACCAATTGAACTTGTTAGAAACTGACAATGTTGTTCTTATATGTGAAATGGGCATCAAAAGTGTGGGGAGGATGAGTATTTGGTATTGTTACTTGCTAATTTAACAATATTCCTTCTATTTCTTTTTTCCCACTTTCTTCCTATTGTTGGCATGTTGATTGCGAATGTGATAAGTTTGGGACATTCTTGGTCCGAAAGTTTCACTCTTAAACAAAGTCTAGTTTAATTGTTTTTTTTTTTTTATAAAAAATAATAGATGAAGTTAATAAAATATTAAAATATTATTGTATTTATTTTTAATATTATTTTATTGTATATATTTGGTATATATAATTTTTCTAAATTAAGATTATGAAACTAGTAGAGTATATAAAAGTATATTTTTCTTTCATCATCAATGAAGAAATATCAATTTTTATCTTCTTCTCTAATGGTGGTTTTAGGTTTTTTTAGTAGGGTAGCTTTAGCTTCCTAACACATCTTGAATTTTTCTTTTAAAAAATGACTATGTAAAAAATTATATTTCTTTAAAGTTTTAATTATGAAATTTTTATATAAGAATTAAATATAACGTACCATTGTAATAGATATAATATATATGAATATAAATCTATCTTATATATAGATATTTACATAATTTTAATATTAATTTAATTTGAATAAGATTCAATAATATATTTTGTGTATCACTATATCTATATCTTTTAATAATATATCAACATATATTATATCTATAATATATATAAAAGTAATTTTAATAATAAATATTATGCTATTATAATTTTTTTATTAGAAAAAAAAACTTTCATTAAGAAAAAAGATAATGAGTATAAGGGATACCTAACTCTTACATTGTCTGAAAGAGACCTAGAGAAAAAATAAAACAAGAATAGAAATGAACTTCATATATATATCCTCTACTCCAACAAAAAATATCCCCTACCAAGAGGAGTTTCTAAAAACACTACGCGGAGCTAATAAATAACAACGATTAACAAATATCTACAAAGTTTATGTCCCTATATGCATGTCAGTGTTAAGTCTTTCATATATATATATATAAGATCACAGCTGGTATGCTACCGGATAAAAATACATCTCACTTATTATATTTAAAAATATTTTTAAGTTAATAAAATATCATCTCAACTAATATAGATTTGATAATTTTTGGACAAATCAAAATAAGCTTATATTTATAAAGGTTATCCTCAATTTATTTTAAAGAGTGCTGTCATATAATCTATTAAAATTCAACAATAAATATTGTTTGTTAATTTAGAGATGACGACATCTCATACAAGATTTTTTTTTAATAATTATTTTATAAAAATACAACATTATAACTGTTGGAAAAATTATAGTTCAGATTTTATAAAAGAAGTAAAGGACCAAGATAACAGAATCATTTATTATTTTTTATAAAATATTGTTTTGAGCTACAGGATCGATATATACAATAATTAAAGCACGTGCTGCAATTTAAATATTAATTGTAAGAAAAATAAAAGCACGAAATGCATAAAATATATAATTAAAACTAAGTTAAAAACATGGATGCAGTAAAAATCTCTAACATCTATTGAAGGTATAAGAATAGCTTTTTTCCCCCGTAAACCGAATAGTTTCCAAAGATATCTTGTGAGATTTATTTTAAATATCTAACAATAATTAGTATTTTCTTCTTATTATTAAAGTGTATATATTCTAATTAGTTAAAAAAAATGAGTATTAGTTACGAGAAAAAAAATAGTATAAAACATACATTCTATTTGATTAAAAGATATATGAATATTAATTAGGAAAATTAAAAGATATATGAATATTAATTAGAAAAAAGAAGTAATATATAAGTACGTAGTTTTTTTTTCAAAAATATAAATAAAATAATTTTATTATTATCAATTAAATTAATCATTTTTTAATCTTAATGAATTTGGTAATTGAATCTTATATATAAAAATTACGACAATAATAATTAATTATCAATTTTATTTCATATGTTAACAAATACTATCTTTAATTCTAAATATAAATGATATGAGACAAATTATGAGACCAAGAAAAATAATTAATATATTTATTTTGATTAATTTTATCATAAATACAAGTTGCATTCTAAATGTTGGTATATTTGATATTATTTTATAAGTGGATGCATAGAAATTAAACAGAATTAATAATAAAAAAAGAATTTTAATCCTAAATAATCATAAAAACTAATAATTATTTCTTATAATTAAAGTAAAAAAAAATCAATTTGTAACTCATAACCAAGAGGGAGAGATAATAATAAACAATATAGAAATCCAAATAAATGGTGGAGCATATCAGAGTTTACCACAATGCTCCAACAAAATTAAAACTAAAAATAGAAGTGAACAAAAGAATTAATATGTGTAATGTTCCTGCGTAGAAACACTCCTCTTGTCGTTCTTCCTTCTCGGTCTTCTAAGTCTTCGTGCCGACCGAATACTGTCCCCGAGAGGTAGGGAGGGTACCTGCAAAGACACTCCAACGATCAAGTGAGTATTCGGTATAGAGCGATAAGTGCTTTTATATTGGATAATAACGTACCTCATTTATGTCACATCACCTGTGTATTTATAGTGACACAATTGGGCCTGGTGGGCCTTCAGTCTTGGGAGATAGGTAACACTTGAGTTAACCTTAATCTCTTCTTGATCAGGCATGGTAATTACTGTATAATAAGCGTCTAATTTTGTCACGTGTTGTTCGAGCTGGTCCTTGTTGAAGTCTTCGGCCAGGTACAAGGCCGAAAAGGGTGTTCGACCCACCCTAAGGCCGAGGAAGTGGTCGGTTTAAGTCAATGCCGAGGGGTTTGCCCCATGCTCTTCGTGAGCTGGCCTTTGTTGAAGTCCTCGGCCAGGTACAAGGCCGAAAAGGGTGTTCGACCCACCTTAAGGCCGAGGAAGTGTTCGGTTTAAGTCAATGCCGAGGGTTTTGCCCCATGCTCTTCGTGAGCTGGTCTTTGTTGAAGTCCTCGGCTAGGTACAAGGTCGAAAAGGTGTTCGGCCTACCCTAAGGCCGAGTAGGTTTTCGGCCTATCCTAAGGCCGAGGGAGTGTAGTAGTGTGTTACATCGGTTCGGGTGCCCCTTTCGGCCTATTATCTGACCGAAGGGGTACCTACCTGTGGACAGCGTTTTCATTGGTTCGGGCACCCCTATCGGTTTATTGTTTGGCCGAAAAGGTGCCTCCTAGTACATGTAAAAACAAAGTATATAAATAATAAAAAGGGAAAAATCAGAGATCAACAAGAGAAATTAATATATACTGACATATATAAAGAAAGAAAATTACTGGAATACAGTGAGTGAAGTTGGTGGAAGGGCTTTGAAACGCGAGTGCTATATATTCAGTCATTGCTACGCATTTTTCACAAACACAAACAACATCATGCCATCATCATCATCATTACTCGCTCTGTCCCTTGTGTTGCTTTTCTTCGTGTCACGTTCTTTCTCCTATGCAAATTCTCGCTTCACTCATGATCGTGCCAACCTACCACAATCACAAGCACAAAAGCACATAAAAAGCCTTAACCTATTCCCAAAGGTCCAAGTTAACATCAACAACGATGCTGGTTTTGTCCCTGGTGAGATCGTGGAGAAGAAGTTCTCGTTTTTTGCTGAGTCTGGCTCTTCTGTTGAAGACCTTGGTCACCATGCAGGCTACTATTCACTTCCTCATTCCAAAGCTGCAAGGTAAATTTGTATACTATTCAAGTTCTGTATTTTTTTTTTATATTAATTAAATTTAAAATTTACCCTTTTAATTGCTCGTTAACATGTGATTCTGATTTGAATTGCCATATTTTTTTTCCTGTGACATGCAGAATGTTCTATTTTTTCTTTGAATCACGGAAGAGTAAGGATGATCCTGTAGTCATATGGTTGACTGGAGGACCTGGATGTGGCAGTGAATTAGCTTTGTTTTACGAAAATGGTCCTTTTCATATTGCCAATAACTTGTCGCTTACATGGAATCCATATGGTTGGGACCAGGTATAACCATCAATTTTTCATGTTTCCTTTATGGAAAGTGTTACAGTTACTCCAAAATTGCTTTCCTATCTCCAAGGTTTTTTCTTCTCATTTTGCAGGCATCAAATATTTTATTTGTTGACCAACCTACGGGTACAGGTTTTAGTTACTCTTCTAGTACAAGTGACTTTCGTCATGATGAAACGGGTGTTAGCAATGATTTATATGACTTCTTGCAGGTAATTCATAATTATAGGAAAAATTCCCTTCTTTCATTTCAATAATATCTTGTATATAAATAGATCCACTAAATTATTTTTACTATAATATGGCAGGAGTTTTTCAAGGCACATCCTGAGTTTGTTAAAAATGACTTTTATATCACTGGAGAATCATATGCTGGACACTATATTCCAGCTCTTGCATCCCGAGTTAACCAAGGAAATAAGAAAAAAGAAGGAATTCACATAAGCCTCAAGGTCTTACACTATTTCTAATATAATTTATATTATTGTTGTGAAAGGTTAATTAGTTATTAATTATTTGTCTTGCTTTTGCTTGTATTGATTTGATTCATTTGGTATAACAACAGGGTTTTGCTATCGGTAATGGGTTAACAAATCCCGCAATTCAATACCCAGCATACACAGATTTTGCATTAGAAAACAAAATAATTTCAAAGGCTAATTACGATAAAATCAGCAAGTCAATCCCAGGCTGTGAACAAGCCATTAAAACTTGCGGTATCGAGTTCTTTAACCATTGTCACTCACGCTCGTGCACATCTAGTTTACTAATGTATATATATTGTTTCACTTTGTGATGTTGTTCGTGTTTGGTTTTTCAGAAACTCAAGGTGGAAAAAGTTGCGAGATTGCATTTGGTACTTGTGTAGGCATATTCAATAGGATCTTGTCCATTGTTGGCGACATTAATGTAAGTAATCAGGAAAGAACAATACCTTCTTTTTTTCTCCCTATTCAATTCAGTTTTTTTAATGCATTCTGCTGATTTGGAAATTTACAGTACTATGATATCAGAAAAAAATGTGTGGGACAGTTGTGCTATGACTTCCAAAACGTGGAGAAATTGCTAAATCTAAAGAAAGTGAAGAGTGCTTTAGGTGTGAGGAAGGACTTGGAGTTTGTTTCATGCAGTTCAACAGTGTATGATGCTATGCTGCAAGATTGGATGAGGAACCTAGAAGTGGGGATTCCTACTCTTCTTGAGGATGGAATCAATATGCTTGTGTATGCTGGGGATAAGGATTTCATTTGCAATTGGCTTGGTGAGCCTACTTCATTCATTTCAAAGATTGCTTTTGTTACTAATTTGAGAGGGACTTTCTATGTAGGGTGTTTTAGACTTCCTACATTGGTCTTAAACCCATAATATAGATTCTGGCAAAAGTGTGTTAGTAAATGATGATTTTGTACTAGAGTGTGTGTTGAAATAGCTATGTATATATTTTTTATTGAGTTCTTGATGTGGTTCTAATTTTGCAGGGAATTCAAGGTGGGTGCATGCCATGGAGTGGTCAGGCAAAGAGGCTTTTGGAAAATCTCCTACAGTGAAATTTGAGGTTGATGGTGCAAAAGCAGGGTCTTTGAATAGCTATGGACCTCTTTCTTTTCTCAAGGTTTGTGTTTAGGGTTGTATTCTCGAGTGTAAAACTAATAATTTGACTTTTGGTAACTTTATTTATGTGATATACTATAATAGGTATATGATGCTGGCCACATGGTCCCTATGGATCAACCAAAAGTCGCACTTCAGATGTTGAAAAGCTGGATGGGAGGGAAACTGACTGGAATAAAAAGAGATAATTAGCGTCCTTATAATACATTCTCCTCAACACCAAAAGCAAACATTTCTCACTATTTTGTGTACATGACTTCGTGTATAATTTGGAGGGTGGAATAAATATTATTTTCTCAACTTTATGAAACTCCTAATCCTTGTATTCCTTTTCTCAATTTGTGTAATCTTCAATATTTTCGCATGTAAATAATGTATTTTTAATGTATATAGGACTTAAGTTCGAATTTCGACTATCTTTGTATTTTTTTTATATTATCTTTATCAAATAATAATAATAGTACTTATCTATAATCGGTAATACTCATAAAGATAATGTTCATCTCCATAGTTTTTAGATTATTCTTTTTTGTTATGGAAAAGTAAAAAAAAAATAAAAATCACTCCACTAATATTTTAAAATTTGGACCCGTGATTAATACAGTAAAGATACTAGATCAATAAATTATTAATTAAACGATTATTAATTGAATCAAATGAACTGGTATATTATTTGTTAGTGAATAACCATAAAATCATGTTGCCTCTGTGGTATGGTAAACCTTGTATAAATGATTCGATCTCAAAGAAGGCCAGTTTGATTATCCCCTTGCAATCAGCAACCTCATGCATCAATGAAGGCAAAGTCTAATTTCAAAATAACTTCATATATACTCTCATTTTCAATATCAAGTCTTTCTTATTTTTTAAAAAATATAGACCGCGGACACAAATTGTTTCTTTTCTCTTAATTCTCTAATGAATATTAATTAAATATATATTTAGCAGCATTCCAAGAATGATGTGGGATTCAATCATTCTTTTTGACATGGTAAATTAGCAGTAAAACATGGGAAACAAAAAACCTAAAACAGAACAAGCTTTCGAATGGATTTGAACGAGAAGAAGTCGAGATTCTACCAAATGTGAAGTAATGTGTTAGTTATTAAGAATACAGAGCTAATATTCATGGTTGAGACATTTTCCCGAAAGGTCTGATAAATATATTAGTTTCAACTTTCAAGATATAAATGAAGTTAAAATAGAAAAAGGAGACCTCTTTAATATATAAATTGTAAGATGTGATGATAAAGTATAGAAATAAAAATACGTATGGTGATTTTCAAGCAACTTAGTCTCATTAAAACACTCAAGAACAAAACACATCAATTATATAGATATTACCACGCAGCTCAAGACTTCTCCCAACCTTAACTGTTAAAATGAAACCACTTGTTATCACTACTTAAGTGTGTGTGGTTGGATATTAGTAAAAAGAGTTTATAAGACAAATAATGAATTTAGTTTTATACTTAGATACAAGTTTTATTAGTTATATTATTTTTAATTTAAGATTATAAAATATATTTTTTAATACCTAATATTGAATTAAATATCAAGTTATAGTTGAGCACTCCACAATATCAAAATATATAACATTGAAATGGATATATATATATATATATATATATATATATATATATATAGAATCCGTTGACATCAAACACTTACATCAAATCTTATACATTTAATAAATTTTCTGTAAATGAAAATTTAACCGATATAACTGTGAGACCCCATTCCTTCCGCAAGTCCCTTTCACCCTTATTCTCTTTTTCTTTGACTTCCCATTTGCTGTTGTTGCCGCTTCGCGGTGCTGTTATAGCCACTTGAGTGGTGCTGTTGTTGCTGCTAAGCAGTGCTGATATGGCCGCATTGCGGTGCTGATATTGTTGAGTGGTATAAGCTGTACAAGTGTGCTGATAACTGTATTTGTTATATATATATATATATATATATATATATATATATATATATTTATAGGATGATAAAATGGATCAATTTAACTTATTTAAGTTCAACTCACCGTTTGACCTATCAAAAAATGGTTAAGATGGGCTGGCTCACCAACAAAAATGGATTGGACACCTTAATCTGCCCACCAATAAAATAAATAAAACAAAATAAGGGGGAAAGAAAAAAAAAAAAAAGAATACTTTACTTATTTATTTTAAATTATTGTCTTAGCATATGCTTTTTTTTCAATATCTAAAGAACTTATATAATTAGTGTACCTATATAATAAAAAAAATTAAATTACAACTAATTTGATTTGTTGTACATCAAATATCAAATTACATATAATAAAAAAAATTAAATACGTAACAAATTTGTTGGAAACACACACATTGTCATAAAGAGTGCAATTTTTTTTTTTTTAAGTTCTAACGAAGTGTTAAATGATAAAGGAAAGCTTAACAGCTTCTAAAGAGTTGCAAAACTCGTTAAAGTGCTAATGAAGTGCTAAATGATGAGTGGATCCTCCTAACCCTCAAAGAGAAAGTGATAAAATGTGTCAAAAAGTGTCATGTCATAAAAATGACACCTGGTACAAGTTGACCCATGTTGATTGCAGGCATTAAAATATGGAAAGGTTCGACACCACTTTACTTGTGCTTAGCGTTGGGGAGGCTGATGCTCTCTGCCAAGATAGCGTCAGATGTGAAAAGAGTGACACACGACACTGTAGACTCTTCAAAATAATTTTAAAAATTTCTCCCTTCTTCACCTTCACGTGTCCTCTCTTATTTAGCTTGCTCCAAATTTACATTCTAATCAAATGTTAGATGAAAAATGAGAATTAATAATATAATTAGGTGATGGTACCCAATATTTAATTAATTACAAAAGATTATTAAATGGAAGACTAAGCTAGTTAAAAGTAAAAAAAAAAAATGATTTTATTAATGTAAAATGACAAATAATTATAAATAAAAATTAACATTATCACATAACTATAATTAAAAGACATTATTAAATAAAAGGAAAATAAGAATTCAACAACAAATATTTACAAATAAAAAATAATATGATAACTATTACTGTTGCTACTAACAATAAATATAAATATAACAATCATAGCAATAATAAAATGGTCAATATTTCACTTATTTATTTATTTTAGAACAACCAGTTAATAATTATTCATATAGAGTAATTCAGACAATAGTTTCAATTTTTGCATTAATATAAAAAGAAAAGGATATTAAATATATTTTACTTAAAAATATATTATTTTCATCTTGTGCCCCTATTCTAGTTAATTTAAATCTATCAGTTTTTCTTAAAATTTAAATAAATAAGATTTCTTTCAAATTTTTATTTTAAATATTATTTTAAAACAGTTGAATACATTAACAATTTTTTTTTGTTTTTTTTTTTGTATTTTTCATATCAGAAAGACCTGGAAAAAGAGGATGTTACAAATTTCATTTAGGTTATTAGGCAATTTCCTAATATATCACTTATCTTTTACAAATATTACATATGAAAAGTGTGACTATAAATACAATATACATAAATTTATTTGACATATGCATACTGACAATTTTAATATTAATTTTAAATAAAATTTAATAACACATTATATATATATATGTTACTGTTCTTACCAGAATTTGGTCGTAGGAGTGGACCGTCCAGTAAGATCGATGAGCCTCCTTTGCTGATGCGTTGGTGCTCCAAGATGGGGGAGATACCTGCAAAAGAGACTCCGATGCCAAAGTTCCTGTTTGTGGGAGTATGAGTCTCGTATAAATAATGCACATACCTTTGTGTGAATTAGGGTTGTCTTGGGCCTTGGGCCTGAGATAAGATATGATATGATAAGATATCATATCATATGATATGATAAGATAAGATATCATATGATATGATATGATGAGATATGATATGATATAATTGGAGGGCGGTTCTGATCTGGGACGAGATCCCCGGGTTCGGGAATGATCTACCCAAATACCGGGCCCTAAATACCGGGCTGACGTCACTCAGCGTGTGCCCGGGGTTGCTTTGTATCGCTAATCCGGGCTCGGAGCCCGGGTGCGAAGTACAGTCAGTACACTAGCCCCCCGAGCTCTGAAGGCCGTAGGTCGAGGAGTTAAGACCGGGCTCGTCAAGGAGGACGACGTGGAGGATAGCTCCAGCGAGAATGCCTCTACGTAGGCTAATTTTGTTATGACCTAGTTTAATTTTCCCTTTGCTTTGATTTTCTGTTTTGAATTCAAGCGTTGAACTCTGGGAACTTTGTTTGTATATGCATATTTTTCTTCTGCCTTTATGTGTTTGCGTTTGGTTTTTGCTTTGCACACATTTTAAGACACACGTTCGATGTCTGTTGTACACTCTCATTTTTGGTGAAAGCTCACGCTGAGATCCGAATTCGGCCTTAATTTTAAGTAGTTTCTCGTGAAGGTTCGAACTTGATCTTAGGTAGTAGTGCCGAGGTTCAGATTTGACCTCGATCATTCCGAGGTTCGGGCTCGACCTCAAGTTCGCGTGTTTAAGGTTCGTATTCAACCTTAAACAAATACGTTAAGGTTCCTATTCAACCTCTCGAATAAACGTGTTAAGGTTCGTATTCGACCTCAAATGAATGTGTTAAGGTTCATATTCAACCTTAAATGGGCAAATAGTAAGGATGTTTCCTTTTTCGAATGGAAACTTCATTGCCAAATGTGGCGTAGAGACAATTGCTCCCAACATGTTTAATGATGGTCGACCGAGCAAAATATTGTACGATGTGCTAGCGTTCACCACTATGTACCCTTCGTGCCTCTGCATAAAGGTCTCCGGGCGGCCCTCCAGTGCGTCAAAACGCTGAAGGATAGTGAGTGGAGGGCCTGGAGCAGCAGCATCGTCCATGGGCACATCCTCCTGAGGGGCAACGGCATG